TCTGGAATTCGGTTCTGAATCACTGCACTGACTTGCTCAGAAATCATCATCACCCCTTGTTCATGGCTGAGATTATTGGTTACCATTCGCTTCACATAACGTCTGATAACAGGAGTGATTTTTACCGCATTAACCAAGGGTATCTCAATCACAAGCTTATCCATCAAAGCTTTGCATCGTGCATCATCAAGCTCTTGCTTGGACTTCCTAGGGCTCCTTGGGTAAGGAACTTTAGGTTTGTAGACTTTCTCCTCTGCAGATTTCGGATTCGGAACATCAACAGCTTCGCTCTGCAATTGGTGACACGCGACACTAGAGGTGGTGTCGCTCGACACCGGCTCTGCAATCTCAGGAACTGCTTCAGAATCTTCTAAATCCACGACTTCAGGTGCAGGAAGCGTCTTCTTGGGCTCAGAACTCAGATTTTTACCACTCCTCAACGTGATAGCACTGCAGTGATGCCTTGGATTGGTGTCAGTCTTCCCAGGAAGAAAACCCTCTTGCCTTTTAACAGAACCTGCAGTTTGGGCTACATGCGTATCGAGCTGCTTGACATGGGTGTTCAGAGCTTCGATTTTTCCATTCAGATCGAGGTAGAGAGCATCCATCTTCCCATTAAAGTCCACGGTGAGCTTCTGCTGACCTTCCAAAATCTGTTCCAGCATAGACTTCATCTCATTGTAAGGATTTTGAGGTTGAGATGAAGGAGTGCTGTAGTTTCTGGAAAAACTGTTGTTGGAAAAAGGCTTCTGGTACTGAGGCTTAGGTGTGTAACCAGAGAAGTTCTGATTGCTGTTGAAGGTACTCCTCTGATTGTTTCCACTGTAATTTCCACTGTAGCTTCTGTTACCTTGCTGATTACCAAACCTCTGACCCTGAAATCCTGATCCACTGACAAAGTTGACATCTTCTTCCTCAGCTGCATCCTCAGGTTCGAAACTCTCCACCTCCTGTGCGAATCTGACAGACTTCTTACCCACCAAAAGGCTGTGCACAGAATCGAGTTTAGCTTTCACCTCAGCGATCTGCGATCTATCCATGTTCCCAGCTTGCTTCTTTCGCTCAAGATCTGCATTCTTGGTGCTATTGCTGGATGCCAAATTTTCGATGAGCTCAACAGCTTCTTCTGGGTATCTGGTGTTGAAGTTACCATTGCTTGCTGCATCAAGTGCCATCTGATACCTCCAGTCGATACCTCTGAAGAAAATACCCAGCAACTGAACATCGCTGAAGCCATGATGAGGGCAGTCTCGCTGGTACGATTTGAATCGCACCCAAGAAGCTTTGAATGCTTCAGTTGGTTCCTGAGAGAAAGTCAAAATTTTCGTCCTCAACTCCTCAGACCTGGCATCATCGAAGAAGTTGTGCAGGAAGGCGTTCCTGGTCTCTTCCCAAGTAGTGAGTGATCCTGGCTCCAACTGCTTCAACCAGTTAGCTGCTTCTCCAGCAAGAGAATAAGGAAACAGTTTGCAGAGGAGGAAATCATTGGACACACCATTGTATTTGATGCTGGTGACAAAGTCCTCAAACCTCTCGATGTGATCCATAGGGTGCTCATGAGAGTGGCCATGGAAAGGATGCTGACCCACAAGAGTGTAGTACACAGGCTACAGCTCAAAATCGTTTCTTTGAAACGCAGGAGCGCGAATCGCAGAACGATTTGCATAGAACTGCTCAGGCCTGTTGTAGTCTCCAAGTGTTCGTCCACGTCAAGCTGCAGGTGCAGGTTCCCTCACATTCCGATCCTCTGGAACGTTCCTCTATTGTGGAACGATCACAGCGTTCCCACGCGGTGCAGGTGGTGGATTCTGGTCAACAACATCCACTGGTAAAGGTGCTGGTGGAATGATGTTACCATCTCCATCAAGCCTTTGGCCTCTCGCATTGCAGGCATGACCCTCTTGGTCTCTCCAGATTCCAGCATCATCACGAACAAGTCCATTGGCGTTTTCCATTATTGCCGGATCCCTTGCTTTCCTGTTCGTTCGCTCTAACTCAGCTAGCTCTTCGTTCCACGAGTATGCATAAACCTAAAACACCAAAAACAAAGAAAGAAAACGAAATAAGTAAACTAGGTTATAAAAAGGAAGGTGTCGCTGACACTAGGTCGAAAAACTTAGTCGAAACTCAAAAACTAGGTTTAATGGCGAAATCAAGTCCCCGGCAACGGCGCCAAAACTTGATCTGCTCAAAGTTTAATCCCTAAGCTACTCTGCAAGAGCACAGATGTGCAGTTGTAGTATCTAGGGGTCGAACCACAGAGACAAGAGATCACTCAATAAACCTTATGTAGATGGAGTTACGCTAAGCCGAAATATGCAGAACAAATAGCAATGCGACAATAATAAATAAAGCAGCGATGAAAACAGTTGTAAATTCGATGTGATAAAGGATAGGTCTAGGGCGTTTTCAGGAGATCAATGTATGCAGATCGACTTAACTAATCAGGGTTCAGGTTTAAGCACAGTTCTTGAACTCGAAACACAGAATTATAATTAACCAACTTCCGTTGTGAGAATTATCTAAGTTAAAATCCTAGAATTCCAAATTCCTTTGCAAATCCTACAGATTTAAACCAGCCTTAATTGCACAAGTTCGATATGTTCACAAAGCTACTAAACCAAATTCCTTTGCGAATAGTTACTTTGCTCAACTCAGGTTCTTTCCAGTTATTCAATTACACTTCCGTGTCAATTAAGCAACCTAAGATCTAAGTTCTAGGTGATCAGTCTAGAATTAGCTTTAAGAACAACCTAAGGTGAAGAACAAATAGATATGAACCCTAACTAGCAAGTTAATCAAACATTCAGAGAAAACCCTAATTAACCCTAAACCTAACAGGTGATCTACTCAGACATGGTTATTGAAGCAACAGACATGATGAATAGAAAGCAATAGATTCAATCGAAATAGATAAAGGGGTTCGAAATCTTCTCTCTAAACGAACAGAGTACAGACTTGTCTCCCCAAGCTCAGAAATCGCAAAAGCCGAAAACTCAGAGTATCTCTCTCTCAAAAATCTAAGGTTATCGTAAAAAGGGAATAAAAATCCTATATATATCTCTAAGACACGTCTTGGGCTTCCTTGAAAACGTTTAGGCCCAACTCCTTCTTCAAATAGGAAACAAAATCGCCTTTTCCTTATTTTTCTGACAAGTGTCGAGCGTCACTCTTCATGGTGTCGAGCGTCACTAAGGCACAAAATCTATTCTTGACAAATTTGATCCTGATTAAGCTTCAAAGTGCTCCAAAGTCTCCAGTTAAGCTCCAAACGTACCTATGACCTGAAAAGACTCCAAAAGACTCGAAAGACACTAAAAAGACTATAAATAAGACCTATACCATGGTTAAAAACCATAAAAACCATGATATATCACTGATCTAGGTCTTGGGTGTTGCAAAAGTTTTCATTCGGAGCCAGATCTAGCTTAGAAGAGCAGATCGACCATAGGAGTGGAAACCTACCTTTGGGAGAGCTGTGAATATTGATGAGTCTTAAGCTTACTGCATCTTTTCTCTTCCAAGGCCATAGTGGAAACCTACTGGTCAGGGTTACGAGAGATAGTTGGTTATGATCACGATAGTGGCGTATTCATACGTTCGTGACTCGAGTTCCAAAAATTTATTAGGATCGATATTAAGAGCTTTGTTCATCCTTTAGACTTATTAATGATTTATTCACTTCTAGTTTTTAAAACCCTTTTTAAAACCTTTTTTAAAAACCTTTTCAAAACCCTTTTTAAAACCCTTTTAAAATCTCTTTTTAAAATACATATATAGAAATCGTGACAACCTATCCAAAACCCCGTTTTTCGTCTTAGACTTTATTTACTAATTCTGGTTCTAAGGTTCTGCAGGTAAAGCGTGGATTTTCTGTGGATCTATACCCTAAGTACTACAACGCACTGCTGTGCACTTGCAGATATCTAGGTTATAAATTTAAAACATAAAGTCGCAAAGTATCAACCCTAGGCAGCATCATCGGTGCGCTAGTACGGGAGGTTCGTAAAAATTGTCTACTGTCCTTACAATCACCATGTGATATTTTCACAACGTACCGCGGACCACTTTCCCGTAGGTCATCCATTTTGAAATTGCTCTTGTTTAAGCACCCTTAACTCTGGAGTTCTTTCAAAACCAGTGTCTGAAAAGATAAGTGTACTTTGATGAAATAGGTAGCCAAATCAATTCTTATAAGCCTTTCCACATATATTAGAAATCGGATTTAACAATTCTCTCCGATTTCCAAGGAATTCATCCTCGAATTCTTTCTAACTTAACTACGTCCCAAGACACCACTCGGAAAGATATGTCGCTATTAGACTCGGCACTACAATTTACATGTCTAAGTCCAATTCAGACTGTGAGACCTCGATCCCACATTCCCTTTGGGGACCAGACGGACCGGCTAACAACTTTGTGAGACCCCGATTCCGCCTTCTCTTTGAGGAACCAGACGGACCAGCTATCAACTCTTAATGCCCTTTCCAGTAAGCTCAACGCCCTCTTTCTAAGCTTGTGGGCCCATTGTCCTTTCGCTAGGCTCGTTGGTCCAATGTCCTCTTTCTAAACATGTTGGCCCACCAGTTAGTGCGTTAGTCTAGGAGGCTCGTAAGACTTGTCTACTGTCCCTGTAATCACCATGTGATTTTTCCCCGTGTTTTGTCCTTATTCACACGGTACCGCGGACTACTTTCCGGTAGTTCACCCATCTTAAAATTGCTTCAGCTTAAACACTCTTAATTTTGAATTCTTTCAAAACTATTGTCGGAAAAAAATAAGTGTACAATAATAACATAAGTAAAAAAATAAGTGTACATTATTTTTATATATTTTATGTACATATACCAGAAATTGGGACGTTACACAGACACTCATTATACTTGTCGCCATAATCTTATAAATAAACTGTTCTCCAAGTCAAGAAGTACATTAAATATATAAAAATAATGGTACGTTTCGTATTTTATTTTTCAAATGCGAAATAATTAGATACCACATTTTATTCTAATCTAAATAAATGATCCACACAAGTCATAAGGCGATAGATGCCCAAATTCAAAAGAACAAATTTTCGGAGACAGAAGAATTAGAGGCCTGCTCTTCAAACAGACCAGTCGGGTAAGGACCATGACCAGGCCCAAAAGCCTTGACATGGTCTTTAAGGGAGCGTTTGTGTTTAAAATCTGAACCGCAAACGCAAACCCATCGTTTCCCACAGTTCTTCTCATGGGTTCGCCAATCGCCCTTGACAGCCAAGAGCTTACCACAGATGCGACACGCGTAAGGTTTTTGGCCATGTTTGCGTTTGTAGTGCGTTTGGAGCGTTCGAAAGTCTTTGAGGGGTTTGGAGCGAGGATGGTCAATGTGGTTCCTACACCCTTCGACGCAGCAGTAGCAAGGGATCCCTAGCATGGCTCGTGGCTGCGTCCCTTTCAGTGACTCTGGTCCTTTCCTATATTGTGAACCGTGGCCCCACATGTGCATCTGTATTCATATTTGGAGTCAACAAGGTTACATACGTTAATACGAAAAATAAAATAGAAAAAAATGGTTTGAATAAAATTTTCACAACAAATACTCATCTTATCTTTGAATCAAATTTTATTTTGACAACTAATAAACATGGTTCATTCGATCTTATTGTAATTCATTGAAGAATCTGTGTGTTAATTTGGATGAAATCTTTTTGAATACTATTGCAGGAAAAGTTGATTATATGGAGAAAAACTATTAAAAAGATAACCAATCAAACTTGTATTTAATTCTAAAACCATAGTTTATTCGATAATACATTTTCATTAAATTATTACCATGCATCCAAATATACACCTATACTAACAATTGTTTTTATAAAATTATAATTTAATAATCATTAATCAACTCAGATTTTGGTTATCTAATATATATATATATATATAAATCGAATAGGAGTTTCTCAGTTTGATCTTTAACGAAAAAAAAAAAACGAATATGAATTTATATTTTATTGGTTATGCATGGATCGGACACGCAATGCGCATGATATAATATTGATTCATACCTGAAGATTGTTGTAGCGATTGAAAGTCTTGAAGCATACATGGCAAGAAAAATGTGTGAAGCCTATTATGATTTGCTCCACCGCCGGAATCCAGTATGCCTTACCGGAAAGTTCATTTTCCATTTCTTTTCCGGCATCATGAGTGATGATCTCTTTCCCATTTTTCTTCTTCGACAGTTTAGCACCGTTGCTTGAATTACAAGAGCCAGGAAGGCCTATGTGTAAGCTCACATCCATTTCAACGTCTTCTCCCTCTTCCTCTCCTTCTTCAACATACGATGGCTTAGGGTTTAGGTTAAGGTTTGAGTTTAAGTTTATCCGATCAATAAGAGGTAAAGGCTCGATCAAGGTATTGTTGTTACTAGGATTTTGGTTGAGGTTAGGAAAGAGATCGAGGGATTGAAAGCAGTCTCTAGGTTTATCAGGAGAAGAGCTTGAGGAGATCTCGTATTGTGATGACTCCATTGAATGTGGTGAATAGTGGTTGGAGAGTGATGAAAACATTTGGGAATGTTTGTTTAGGGATTTCATTTTTTTTTTCTCTTCTAAACTCTCCACATATAATTATAATTAAAATAGCTTTATATAATGATTGCTCTCAATGAAAGTAATTTAATGTTTGCAATAACTTTTATAACTAATAATCATGCAGGTACGTAAGTAGATTCCACGTATCAGTCGTCTCCTTTAAACTACGAGAATAGAGATAAAGTAAAAGATCGAATATACTGTATAATATTAGATGATCCATATATGCTAACGAAATTAAACCAAGTGTGAACAAAACGAATATTACAAAAATAAAATTAGAATTATAATATAGAGTACGTACCAAATAGAGGAGAAAGTAAATGAGAAGAATCTCGGGGAATGTGAGGAGCAGACACTTGAGAAGGCATGTGGTTGAGTGAAAACAACCTTTGTTAAGAAGTAATTTAATCTCCTCTGTTTCATCTCTTTGCCTATAAATAGAGTGTGAAGCAAAGAACCTTAAATTTTGTGGACCAACCTCTACAAGTTTTGGCAATTTTTCCATCGCAGGGTTTTGACAATCTTTGGAATTTTACGTAAGCTTTTTGCTTTTCTACCATATGGATTTTCGAATTTGGGTAATGGAATAAATGCTGATTTTGAATTTACTTTTTTCTTTTATTATTATCATTGTCATGGAAGATGCATTATTATTATTACTCGGCTTGTGTTTTTGTATGTATGTAAGTTGTTTAATTCCTTCTAACGGTCAACACCCTCATCTAGTTTGGTAAACACTAGATTTGACATACCAATAAGAGCAAAGTTATAATTAATTAGTAAGTTACAGTTCAAGATTTTGAGATAAAATTGTTTGTACAGATCAACTTGTATACATTTTGCTAAATGAATTGCTTTCTAAAATAATAGCGAGGTTATTAACTTATATTACTTATCTTTAGAATGTTCTGCTTATATAGTCAACTACTAGATCCAATCTCTACAGTTTATATTCATCCTAGCAAAATATTACCTATTATGTCTGAAGAACACTTTTCTTTTAGTGATTTGATTGAAATTATGATTATAATATTTCCAAAATTATTAGAAGAATGATCAAATAAAAACTAAAATCATTATGTTTTGTGCTGATCGACTTTGACTGCCTTATGAACATGATGAATTAATTTTTCGTTAAAATATTTACTTTCAATGTATATAATAAATCTGAGCCTTTTTACCAACTTAGTCATAGTCTAGAGGGTCTCAACTTTTTGAGTTTCCAAACATGGGATTCTGAGTTGACTCAAGATATATAAGATCTACAAAGTGGTCTAAAGCCAGTATAGTATCAATTGGGCCATTTAGCCAATCACCTCCGGTAATATAGTCCAAATTATTTATCCAATGACCTTTTAATTGTCATAAAATAATTTCTTGGTTAAATTTTGAAAGAAAATTATTTTAAATTTCATGAATTACATTTTTTCCCTAAAATTAAATTGAACTCATTTTGTGGATAAGAGGGTATCCAATCTGGTCCAAAAAATAAAATGTAAAGTGTTTTCAGATCCGTATACTAATATTTAAATTGAAAGATCAGCATACTCGGATTTGATTTGGATCTGCTTTCATATATAATTTTTAAAATAGTCATCTGAAAATAGAAAATACTTAAAAATATCAGTTATACTAACGTTTATTTATAAAATTGAGAGTATTGTTTTGAATATACATTAAAAATATATTCTAAATATTAATTTAAATTTGAATATAAATTCTATATATGATACTTTCTATTTAAAAACATATTTTTGAATATTTTATTTTTATTATCTTTAATAAATGCATAATTTTTAATGAAATGTAGCTAATTTTGGAGGAATCTGATCCAAATATGGATATCCGTGGATGTAGCTGGATCTGGATCTGGATAATAATTTTTTGGTTTCGATAAATCTAAATTCTAGTATTCTAAAATTTTAGGATATCCAATCCGTGTTCACTCCTAGTAGATGCTGTGATTTATACTGTATAAAACTAAAACTTTTGAGGTTATTCGAAAACGAATGCCCAAAATTGTAACCCACTATTAATTCATGGGAGGAATTGTGAAATTAACAGAATACATAATCAATAATTACAAATTTTATAAAAGTTTATGGACTCGACATACCTTTTTTTTCAACGGTGAATTATTATTTATTATGAAAATTTAAATTTGAATGGATATGAATGAATTTACAAAAAAAAAAATAGAAAAGGAAGATTCACTAATAGGAATCCGAAATAAATAATAGTTTTTTCTATATATGATTAAAAATTGTTCATATGAATAGAAATGCTCTACTTTTGTTTTTAGAATGGTTAAATCTCTACTAAAATAATCTTTATAATAATCCATAAACATCTATAAACCATTCAGATTGAATTGACAATAGTTATCACTTTTTTTTCTTACTTTTGTAGGAACCACGAAGGCAAGCATTTTTTATATTGTTCCGTTGATAACAACAAAACCATTGAAATTATCATTCTAAATAGTCAATTAATAAGAAATTTGCATTTTGGATCGCCTTCCAGGGTAACTGTTGTTTGCAACGAGAAGTCCATCAAATCGAATGATTGGAATAACCATCAACGATATAAGCCGAGAATAATCACTGCCACCATCTGCTTCTAAGTCTGTCAATTACTTCTTCAAAATGGCTTACACATATTAAAGCTTTTTTGTATTCTCAAATCTATTGGAAAGATCCCATGAAAAAAAATCAAAAACATTACTATCACAGGTTATGCATCTTATCATAACACCACAAGACTAAACCTCCTACTGCTTCTGTTGTGAGTTTCTTGTGATTTGTTTTCAACTATTTCGTTAACATGTTATCAAGTAAAAAATGATACAACACATAAATGAAGATTTATGGCAAAAAGAAAACTAATTGGATTAACGTTCTAATTTTAGGATAGTTAAAGATTCTTTACGTTGATGAGGCTGAGAAGCTCATGGATAAGTATGATAAGAAGATTAGTCCTAAAATCTTAGTCCTCCATAAGACTGTGTCTATAGTCTACTCCGTTTTTCAGTCTTTTTGCTTTTTTTTTTAAGCTGAGTTCCTCGATTTTGGTTATGTTAGATGTTATCGAATGAAGAAGTAAAGAAATAACTGAGAAGGATAGGAAAATCTTTCTTGCAAATCCTACGAAATAACTTGGCCGGTGATTAAAAAACTATCAAAATAATTAGCATAATCAGTAGAAATACCTAATTAGTAGAGTTAATAATTTCTAGTTAACAGAGTTAAATCTTTGTAGGTTCAAGTGTACATAGTCAATGGATATGACAAGTTAGCATATCTAAGTCTCTAAAAAATTAATAATGTCGATAAGCATAGTCAACGGATATAGCTACCAGTAAACATAGTTAATTGATAAGTCAATCTAACTAATCAAGTCTCTGTAAATAACATATATATATGTGCAGAATTCGCGGAGTTCTCTGCCAACTTAGTAGACACGGTTAAACTCATAGTTAAAATGATTATGTGTTATGCTATATCTGCTTAGAAATGTTTCCTATAAGCGGTAATATGAAAAAATTAACCATAATAATCAGATTTTACCGTAAAAAAGACATCTTAGTACGTACGTCAAAATGTTTTACAAAGAAATTCTTTTTTTTTGAAATTAAATAATTTTCCTAAAATGTGGGCGAATAATAGTTTAAAATCCATCATTCTTCAGATGGGAAAATATTCATTTTATTCCTGACCTATTTGCAATCAGTTGATTTATTCCCCAACTATCACTTGCCCAAAAAAATTCCCCAAGTTTAAATTGACATTTCAAAAATCGGGTTTTATGAAGTCAACCGTTAATTACTAAGTAAACTCTGTTACAAATTAATTGAGCAGCCGTAAGGGTAATATGATCTTCACTGAAATTTTTCGCATAAATTTTTTCCCCAATTTCGAGCACACAATTTGAAAGTTAGCAGAGATGATTTCAGACCGCAGCCTCGAATTCCAACACCAATCCCATGAAGACCATCAAGAGAACCAAAATCGTTGCCCTTCAGCTTTGCAATCGATCGAATCGACGAAATCACCAAAGTTTGTTGTTTTCTTCCCACAGGAATTCTTCTTAGGGTTCGTGAGTTTTTCTGTTATGAGTAAAATCTCGACGGGATATGTATTATAAGGTTTTATCTTAATGGATCCTGTTTGTATTTAAATGGTTGACTTCATTAAATCCGATTTCGAAAAGTCAACTCAAACTTAGAGAATTTTTTGAGCAAGTGATAATTGAGGGGAAAATTGCAAAAAAAAGACCCAGAGATTTCAGATTTCACTAAAAAAAACCCAAGGAAGATTGAGGTGTATTTTAAAACCTAAGGTTTCGTATAATGCAATTTAAACCCCAGCCATAAACGGGGTTAACTCACTAACAGAGACTAAAACACACCACCTAATTAAACTCATAAAATGACTGTGTTTTGTAAATTTTACACAGCACACTCGATTACAGAAAATTTTCATCTGTGACTTCAATTTCAGAGGCGAATCCTAAGAACCCTAATCTCATCTTCATCAGCTTCTTCTCAACAACAGAGGTGTATTCATAAATTTAAAAGTAGGTTCGAGCTTTTCTGTTTATTTTAATCGATTTCTATTTCTGGTTTTGGGTTTAATCGACTTATGGGTTTGAATTTGATTGGAGATTCTCTATTTCTGGGTTCTAGGTTAATCAATCTCTGAATTTAAATTTTGATTGTCAGATTTAGAGTAATTGAAATGCTATTTGTTGTTACATAGGAAATGAGCTATATATCATCCGGTTCTAGTTCTAATTCGGTTAGAGAAATTCCAAGAAAATGTGGATGTGGAGCAAAAACTGTAATACTAGAATCTAAAACAGAGAAGAATCCTGATCGTAAATTCTTCTAATGTGCTGCTGCGAAACAGGTAAAACAGAATACACTTGTGATAATGCTTTGTGTTTTCTTTTGAACTGTAATGGTTTTAATCTGAAATGGTTTAAATTATGGTTCTAAGGTGACTGT